CTGTCTGGGTGGATCAGTGGCCCCTTGCAGAGAAGAAGTTAAAGGCGCTCCAGTCCTTCTTTCAGGAGCAACTGTCAAAGGGCCACATCATACCATCTACCAGCCCTTGGAACACACCTGTTTTTGTGATCAAGAAGCCAGGCAAAGACAGGTGGCGGCTCCTGCAGGACCTCTGTAAAATCAGTCAGGTCCTGGAAGGCATGGGTCCCTTGCAACCTGTCCTACCTTCTCCCTCCATGCTCCAGGGATTAGCAGATGGTCATCATTGACCTCAACGACTGTTTTTTCAACAGTTTTTTTTTGTTTTTTCAACATTCTCCTGCGCCTCGAAGATGCTCTCTGATTTGCCTTTTCAGTCCCGTCTCTGAATAAACAGAGCACTTCTACAGAGATACCATTGGACAGTTTTGCCCCAGGGCATGAGGAACAGCCCAACAATTTGCCAATGGTTCGTGGCCCGTATCCTGTCTCCCATTAGACAACAATTCCCGGACGTGGTAATTCTTTATTATATGGATGAATTCTGATTTGTGGAAAGACTTCCACCATTCTAAGCCTTGCTTTAGCCAGTGTTTCCAAAGCAGTTCAAGACATGGGGGTTGAGGTAGCTCTGGACAAGATACAACTTACCTCGCCGTGGAAATACCTTGGCCTCAGGGTCACGGCGAGGACCATTGTACCCAAACCACTTGACATCAAGAACGATCCCAGGACCCTGCGAGAACTCCATCAACTTTGCAGGAGCATCAACTGGGTTTGTTCTCTGCTGGGAATTGTAACAGGAGACCTCACACCACTATTCCAGTTTCTAAAAGGCAGTGAGAATCTAGACTCTGCGATCACTTTCACCAGAGGCCAAGGAAGCAGTAAATAAAGTGGCCAACGCTTTAAGAGCCAAACAAGCCCACTGGTACAGTACCTTTCTCCCTTGCCATCTTCGGTCCTAGTGCTAGATTTCATGCCCTGATCTTTCAGTGGGCTAAAAAGTCACTTAATCTCCTCATCATTATCGAGTGGGTCTTTAGAGCCCACCCACCCAACAAAACAATAACACCACAAGAAATTATGGCTCAGTTGATCACCAAAGCTCAAGCTCGTCTATTCTCCTTAGCAGGAATTGACCTTCATACAATTTTTTTATCCCTCACCACTGAGAATCTTAATTGTTTTTTACAAACATCTGAACCTCATCAGTTTGCTCTTGATAGCTACCCTGGCCAGCTTTCAATTCATTACCCAAAACAAAAATTTTAAATCAAATTTTAGTCTTTTATCCAGCCCAAATCCCTTGAAGGGGATGGGTCCGTCTCTGACCGTCTTCACTGATGGATCTGGGGGATCTCACAAATCTGTGATAACATGGAAAGACCCAGAGATTCAACAGTAGAAAGACAATGTGGAAATCAGTCAAGGGTTCCCCCAGATCACCAAATTAGCAGCAGTGGTCAGAGCCTTCTCAAAATTCCAAGAACCGCTCAATTTAATTACAGATGCAGAATACGTAGCTGGGGTAGTTCAGAGGGCAGAAAATACAGTTCTAAAAGAAGTTTCCAATCCCAAACTGTATGAATTTCTGTTCTGGTTGAAAGCAAAACCAGTGAGAGACTCCAAGTCAGAAATACAATTTATTAGCAAAAGGGGAAAAAAACCCCCAAAATACATGTAATAATACAAAAAAAAAAAAAAAAAAAAAACAAACAAAAAAACCCCACTGACAGAGTCAGAGTACAACCAGAGTGACACCCTGCTAGTTAGGGTGGTGGTAGTAGCCCAGATGAGATGGTCTTGTTGAAGTGGTGATCCCGTAGAAAAGATCTGGTAGCTCTTGTCCTCTGGAAACCCGTGGGTAAGGGCAGCCTGTTCTGTCCCAAAGCCCAGATTATATCCAGGTGGGAATGCTGAGCTCCTCCCCCTGGGCGGAGCCTCTCACAATGGGCTGATATCGTTCTGAGCCATGATTGGTCCTTGATTGCCCATCAAAGAGCAATGGCTCCCAGAGGGAGTTATCTCTGAGCCATGGGCAGGCATTGATGGGCCTATTAACAGGAGATAAGGAAAAACCAGCCCCTCCTGGTTTGAACAGCTCTTGAAGATGGGGATAAAATACATCTTTATATTGTAACCTAGGACAGTCAGGAATTAGAAATTTTGTTATTTTTATGTTCTATGTGTATCTCAGTGAATATTCTTTGAATCTTACCCATTTATCCTGAAGCAATGCAATAATAATTACTAGGAGTATTAAGGAAACACACAATATACACACTAGGGCTTCTTTGAGCCACAGTAGTAACTGCCTGAGACAGAAATGTAATATTTTCCAAATAACTTTAGCAGAACTAGTGATCACAGGCTCATCAACTCTGGTCCTAGCAAATGCAAACAATAATAATAAGTATTGTACTATGAACTCTAAGGCATATGCCACAAACTGTTGTACATTCCTGCAACTCTTGTTTGATTACCCTTTAGTATTTTTATTAGAGTTTTTGGAACATGAAAACCTTGATATATCAGGAGGTAAGGTGGTTGTGAGGCTTTTGAAATGTAGAAACTTGGTGTTTGTCTTCTCATTGTCCATTTGCAGGGAAAAGCTGGCTTCTCGCTGGACTGGCTGAGAGGGTGCCTTGGTTTCTTTCAGCTGCTGTGAAACAGTGATCTCAGGTATCCAGCCCCATCTCTTCAGGCAGACTGGAATGTTTCTGCTCCCACAGCAAAAAACCCCTACACATTTCTTTCCACCTTTTTTAGCTGGCCGGATCCTCACACGGGATTTTCCCACGCTCTGCTTCTGGGATGTCCACAAAGCAGACAGAGGAGTCCTGTAAAAGTAATTTTATTCCTAAAAAAAGGGAGATGCCCAAGGAGCGTTGGCCCCCCACATGCAGCAGGTGACTGTGGAGAGGGATCCATGATTTTCACGGAGGTGAATCTTGGTGTTTCTGAGCGTTATTGTGCTAAGTGTTTGTGCTTTGGTGTTCTGCAGAGGCTGAATCTTTCTAGTTTGAAGAAGGTTTTGGCTGAATCTCGATGTTTGGGGAGCTATTAATCTGTGCCTTGGTGCTTGTTGGATTTTTGTGCGAATCTTGGTGTTTTGGAGGTTCTTACAGACATAAGATGCCCAATGACTTTCTGAGATGAACTTGGGCGAGGAGGAGCCCCCAGCCCAAGGCTCTCTCTTCTTTTTTTTTCTCCCAAACCAGGATTTTTCATTCCCAAGCTGTGGCCAGATGGAGGAGGAGGAAAATCCCTGGAGATGCCGCACGAGGAGACGCTACAAGGAGGAAAGAGCCCCCCTGTGCCGGGAAGACGTTCCAATATCCATCTTGAGCTCAGAGCTGGTGGAGAAACCTCATGGCAGGGAGAAGCCCCACAAGTGCTTGGAATGTGGGAAGGGCTTCAGGTACAGTTCCGACCTGAGAAAACACCAGAGGATCCACACTGGAGAAAAGCCCTATGAGTGTGGGGAATGTGGGAAAAGCTTCAGCCACAGCTCCAACCTGAGGAAACACCAGAGGATCCACAGTGGGGAAAAGCCCTATGAATGTGGGGAATGTGGGAAGAGCTTCAGCCAGAGCTTCCACCTGAGGGAACACCAGAGAATCCACACTGGGGAAAAGCCCTTCGAGTGTGGAGAATGTGGGAAAACCTTCAGGAAGATCTCTGGTCTGATCCAGCACCAAGTGGTCCACACTGGGGAACAGCCTTATGAGTGCTTGGAGTGTGGGAAGAGCTTTGGGTGGAGCTATGCCCTGAGAAGCCACCACCAGCGCATTCACATTGGGGAGAGGCCCTATGAGTGTTCTGAGTGTGGAAAGAGGTTTCAGTCCAGCTCCAGTCTCCTCGTACATCAGCAGATTCACACAGAGGAGAGGCCCTTCCGCTGCCCTGACTGCGGGAAGGGCTTCAAGTGCAACTCGTACCTCATCCTGCACCAGCGCATCCACACTGGGGAGAGGCCCTACGAGTGTCCCCAGTGTGGGAAGAGGTTTCAAAGGAGCTCCGATGTCCTCGTACATGAGCGGATTCACACAGAGGAGAGGCCCTTCCGCTGCCCCGACTGCGGGAAGGGCTTCAAGCACAACTCCACCCTCACCAAGCACCGGCGCATCCACACCAGGGAGAGGCCCTACGAGTGTGGGGAGTGTGGGAAGAGCTTCTGCAGCAGTTCTAACTTGACCCAACACCAACGGAGGCACCACTAAGGGAAGCCCTGTGAGTGCCCCGAGTGCGGGAAGAGCTTCGTGCGCTGCTCCAGCTCCATCCCCCATGGGAGGATCCACGTTGGATGATCCCCAGTGACCCCCGCTTGAGCAGAGCCCTGGTGATCTGTCGTCCTGGTGATTTGTGTTGGGAAGACATCTGGCTGGGTGGCTCCAGATCTTCCTGGTTCCCTGTGGGCACCTGGATGAATGCAGAGGCAGAAACATCCATCAGGACACAGACCAACAGTGTGAATTCCTCGGGGAGAGCCGAGTTGTTGACTTTCAAAACCAGAAAATCTTTTGCGTTCAGTCCTATTTTCTCATGGCATCAAGGAATACTGAGTGGTCTTGGAGGTTGTTACATCATGTGGGGGGAGCGGCACTGGAGACAAAGACCACTCACCCCGATGTTTATGTTGCAACAGGGCTCATTTATTCCCAAGCCTTCCCTTATAAAGGGCATCTGAAAGAGCCCTTCTGGATGCCCTCATTGGTTTGAGCCCCATGCCCCTTTGGGTCCTGGCCAGAGAGATGCCTGCTGCCGTGGGAGATAGGTGATTGGGTGAGCCCCCTGTCAATCATGATGACATCCCACCCTTCTTGTCTTTATAAATTTGCTGAAGTGCTCTGTCACCCATCTGCAAGGGCCCTTTGCAAACAGGGTGACAGAAGACAGCATGGATCTAATTTACACTGGAGCTGCAGCATTCAGTTCCAGGACCTGTTAGGGGAGAACTCAGGCCACAGGAATAATGCTTATTGGTTACAAATTACAACTTATCTCTACAAGCAGAAAGCTGTTTAACCTTTAACCCATTTAACATTTAGAGAAAAACCCAAATATTAAAAAACAAGCTGTAACCCTTTATCCCTTGGAGAAACCTATTTATTCTTTGGAGAAAAACCCAACTCCCAGAAAACAATCTTTAAGCAGAAAAACAGTTTCTAAACAGGAAAAGTTTGTAAACATGAGAAAAAAATTGTAAGCAAATCAAGTCCTTATATGAACTGTGCATGAGGTAGGTGATCACTTGTGATCAATTATTTTGTTGAGACGACATCAGGTTGCCATCTGTGATTTTCAGTGTCCATTGAAATGTATTTTAGGCAGCTGAATATCACAGGGTTATTGTACTGTTGTATGATTCATTGTAAAACATGAGAACATGATACTACTTACGATTCAAAGGGGGGGTGTACTTTCACCTCAACCTTTTTTCCTCTTTTTAGTTTGTAGAATAAATAAAAATAGGAAACACAACATGGAATTTCAATGCTATTACTTAGGGGGTTGCTGAGGGGGTCTCTTTCACTATCAGGACTTGAAAAAGCCTCTTCCGGATAAGGCTTTCTCATTTATCTCAATGGAAAAAAGGTTTAACTTATGCAAAGTTTCATCTAGGTTTACTAAAATATTTTTCTTTACCAGCCAGGTTCATGGTTTGATCAGGGCAATAACCTTGGCTGGGAGAGGTTTTCTGTATTTATATTTTAAAAACAAGCTTTTATTAATATCTAGTGCAAGAAGAATTTTAACATGAATAACAGTGCAAGCAATATACTTTTTCCGCTTTGTTAGAACTTAGAAGTTTTGTTATTGACTTTAATGGATTGCTTTTAACTTTTAAAATGATGACAAGTGGCAGAATTTCAGTTAAAAAACTTTGCAAATTAAATTTGCTTACAATAAATTGATGTTCTATGTGCACCTCAGTGGATATTCTTTGAATCTTACCCATTTATCTTGAAGCAATGCAAGAATAATTACTAGGAGTACTAAGAAAACACATGTTAATACACATACTCGAGTTTCTTTAAGACAGTAGTGCCTGCCTGAGACAGAAATGTAATATTTTCCAAATAACTTTAGCAGAAGTAGCGATCACAGGCTTATCAATTTTGGTTTTAGCAAATGCAGACAATAATAAATATTATACTATGAACTCTAAGGCAGATTTTACAAACAGTCGTACATTTTTGTAACTCTTGTGTGATAACCCTTCAATATATTTACTCTTAGCATATGTTATTAGTTTATTAGAGACTTTAGAATATGAAAACTTTGATATATCAGGAGGTGAAGTGGTAGTGAGGCTCCTGAGAGGTGGAAACTTGGTGTTTGTTTGCCTCCTCATCATCCATTTGCAGGGCAAAGCTGGCTTCTCGCTGGACTGGCTGCGAGGGCGTGTTGATTTCGGCTGCTGTGGAACAGTTTTGTCACGTATCCGGCCTCATCTCTTCGGCCAGACTGGAATGTTCCTGCTTTCATGGCACCAAACCTTTGCATGCTTCTTTCCACTGCTTTTTGCCGGGCCGGATCCTCACACGGGCTTTTCCCACGCTCTGCTTCTGGGTTTGAGGTGTGCAGGAGTTTTCAATCATGGTAACACATTTGTGCAGGGGCACACACACAGACAGACACAGTCAGTGCAAGCAAGGTACCTGTGAAAAATTCCCCTCGGAGGTCGGTGACATCCTCCCTTCAGGTGCTTTTGCATCTCCTGCTGGGTGAAGGATGGGGCCTTGAGGAGCGGGGATATCGGCCCAGGACACGCCGTGTTTGGTGATCCTGCAGGCAGAGCAAACCCGAGGGTTTGCTGGCTCTGAGAGGCCCCCTCAGAGGGAGATTGCTGGTCACAGCCCGCGGTGGCCCAGGAGAGCTCAAAAGGTCTCCTTTCGGACCACTATTGATAGGGTCAGAAGAGAGTGGGCTTCAGTCACAACGATGTTTCATCCCAGCCACAGTTTGGCTTGGCACTTCCTCTAAAAGTGTGAGAAAGGAATGTTGTGCCATTCAGGCAAGAGGACTATTTTCCAAGGAAAATTTTCCAAGGAATATTTTCCATAAGGAAAACAGGAGCCTTTTAGCAATTCCTGGGAGCACACAGTGTTTCTAATAAGCTCAGAAAGAGCTGAGCGCAGGTGCTATTTCCAAGGACAAGACCAAACAAGCATTTCCCAGATCACACAGCAGCCTGAAAAGGAGGAGTGTAAGAATCTGGGTCTGGACGGGCTGTACAGGTCCAATCCGGCTGGCTATGGACCCCAGCCCACACAATTGTACATGGATGAAAGGCAAAAGACCAGAAGCGCTCTTCTCCACGTGGGGACAAATGTCCTCTCTTTATTCCCAGGAGAACCACCAGATGGAAAAACCCACATGAAAAAGAGACTGGCCAGCTGCCTCTTGGGGGTTTTTATACCCAGGGGAATGGGGGGCGGAGGAAGAGAACCACAAGCCAAGGGGATACCAGTGAGGAGGGGCGAGGGGAGGGGTAACCCAGGAAGAGACCACCAACGATGACACTTGGTGGGGGGGAAAGGGGGAAGACCATGTGGTCATAGGATACAAATGATGTGAACAGTGCAAATTACCAAACACCCAGTGCAAGCAACTAAATAACTATTTAGAGCAATACAACCGAGGAGGGGGCAATGCACCACCACACTGGGATCTCAGGGGTGCCCATGGCCTGGGTGACACTGACCTGATGTCAGGAACCCACCAAAGCCACTCTGTCCCTGCCCCCCACAGCTGCACAGGGGAGAGAAAATTTAACCAAGAGCTCCTGGGTTAGGATAAGATGGGGAGAGATCCCTCGTGAAACACCAAAATGGGCATCACAGACCCAGCCTAGGCAGAAGGAGGGAATTTATTACCAACCAAATCACACCAGCACAAGGAGAGGGGAAAGAAATCTCTCCAGCATCTTCCCTCTACCCAACAAGGATCCCCAGGATGGGTGTAACCGGGGCTCTGCCCAACGGGGGTCACTGGGGATCATCCAACGTGGATCCTCCCATGGGGGATGGAGCTGGAGCAGCTCACAAAGCTCCCTCCACACTCAGGGCACTCGCAGGGCTTCCCTGAACGGTGTTTCTGTTGGTGTTAGGTCAAGTGAGAGCTCCTGGAGAAGCTCTTCCCACACTCGGGACACTCATAGGGAATCTCCCCACTGTGGATCTTGTGGTGACTGTTGAGGTTGGAGCTTCTTCTCACATTCCCCACATTCTTAGGACCATTCCCCCCCCCCCCCCCCGCCAAGCTGGTGCTGGATCAGGTTGCAGCTCTGAAGCTCCATCTGGAGCCCTTCCCACATCCCAAGCACTTGTGGAGATTCTCCCCACCCTAAGGCTTTTCCACCAGCCCTGACTTCTGGCTGGATTTCCCTCTGGCCACCTTCCCAACACAGGGAGGGTCTTTTTTCCTCGCAGCTCCTGGGGTTGGGTTTGCAGCCCCTCCTTGTGTGGGATCTCTGGGGCTTTTCCTCCCCGTTGCATTCCTGTGCTGTGGAGCTACTCAAAATGGCCTCTTCCATGAGGTTCTGCTATGGGGATTTGTTCTCCCTGGTCTCCATCTGCAGCTCAGTGCCTGGGGTAAGGAAAGAAAAGGAGAGGAGGGAATGAAGAAGGACAGAATGAGGAGAGGAAGGAGGATGGACAAGGAGAGGATGGGATTTGCCTCCATGCCAGAGGGAAGGGGAAGGAGATCCCGCCAATTCATCCCTGGCAGGACGGCATCAGCTCTGGGGCTGTCCTGCAGCTGAGCATGATTCAGGGCTGGGAGATGGAGCAGAGGAGAGGGGGAGAGGGGCAGGGACTTCCTTCTCATCTGCCTCAGTGTCCCACGCCATCTTCCTTTTTCTCACAGCCTCCTACTTCTCCATCCAGACAAAGTTTGGGATTGACAAATCCTGGCTTGGGGGGACAACAAGGGATGAGCACCTTGGGTTTGATGGTTCCACTACCCAAGTCCAGCTCCAGAAGTCACCACTGCATTCACTGTCAGCGGGCCCAGACCCTGCTCATCTCCAGTCTCCCCCACCTCTCCAGGCTGCCGGGATCCCCCAGCTCCAGGATTGCTCCTCCCTGCTCTCCCCACTCCCACTGAGCCCTAAAACTGGTGTTACACCCCTACCCCTGCTGGTACCAGGCAATCACCATGCGGATCCTCCAAGACCCCCCAAAGGGGCATTCGTGGCTCAGCTGACGGGTTCTGTGAGATCCAAACATCCCCTCCCTTGCACAAAGCCCTCCTGGACACTCCCTGAGAGATGTGGGATGAGCTCCCTGTCCCTGCTTACCTGCAGGATGTGGGTGGGGATCGATGCTGCTGGGACCAGGGGGAGCGGCAGATTCAGTGGACAGACGGGGGAACTGTGTGGTTCTCCTGCTGCTCCTCCTCTTCCTGGACCTGTTCCTGCTCCTCCTTTCCTCCTCCTCATCCTCTCTACCTCCTCTTCCTCTTGCTTCTCCTCCCTGCCCACTCCAGACCCTTTTCCCACCCACCTCTCCCCCAGGGCTGCAGCACCACAAGCTTTTGGGTGGAGGGAACCCCCCATGAGCCCCCCAGGGATGAGCAAGGGGCTTGGGGACCTGTCCAGCGAAAACCCATTCCCCCGCAGAGCCCCAGGGAATCACTCCAGGGATCAAGTGATGGGGACACGAAGGGATCCACAGGGAACAGCCCTTTTTTTGTCCCATCCTCACCTTTCCCTCCCATCTCATATCATTTCCCCAACCCAAAGACCCCTCCCAAGGCCTATTCCATCCCTTCCCCATCATCCCTTCAGCCCCAACCCTTGCCCCTGTGCTTGGTTTTGAGGGTTCCAGGCCCCTCCTGCTCAGTCTGCGGGTCACATCCCCGCTTTCCCTCAATTCAGGCAGCTCCTGGCAGCTTTTTCCTGGGAGGAATCCCTGAGTTTTGGGACTTTTGGGGTGCAGTTTTGGAGGGGGACAGCTCTCTCTGGCTTTCCCCTCCCCGCTGTGACCCCTCAGCTGCCCCTGGCACCCTGGGGTGCTGGGTGGAACTCCAACTGAAACTCTTCCCACACTCCTCACACTCGTAGGGCCGTTCCCCAGTGTGGATCACCTGGTGCCGGATCAGGTCTGAGCTCTGGCTGAAGCCCTTCCCAAATTCCAAGCACTTGTG